TGTACTAATCTAAGGACTTATTCGCTGAATCATCTAGGTTTCCACAAATAAGTTACTGCACAAAAGTAACAAATTTCGTGCCAGTGAAGTAGCTCAGCAATCAAAAGTGCCTGCTTAGGCAAATGTGCAGGGACCACTGCGTGATCCCCAGCACCACGTGCCAGCCCTACCTCCAGGGTCGGCTGAGTGGGCCATCCCCACCCCAAACAAATGTCACCACATGGATGCTTCTGCCCCACTAGGATAGTAAAGTATCATTTTTGGGACAATCTTTGAAATCAGCCTTGATAAATTAAATAAATAAATGTGTATTTGTGTAATGAAATTTCTTATTGAAATGTGTTTAGTCTTCCAGGAACATATAATGGAAGATTAAAAAAATGGTAGGCATCTGGCAAAAATCCAGAGGACTGACATTCACATTTTTTAAATTCAGTGTGTATCCACGAGTATGTTCCATTAATCAACGAGCAGAATGAGCCACAACGGACAAGGTCACTGGCCGGCCAGCGCTAGCCAGCAGCAGCCCCATTTGGACCTCCTCTGCCAGTTCCCAGAATTCCCTTCCGTCTTCCCTCCTGGTCACCACACTTCTCATTTCTCTGACACCTACAGACCTGTGCACTTACAGAAAAGGTGGACTGTGCTATAAAAAGGTGGACTGATCAAGGAAACCACCAACCATACAGTAAGTACAATGATCCTGATATTTCTTTCTGATTCTCTTGATGACAGAAAACCAAATCAAACCAACTCTGAACTTCCATGGCCTTCTTTCAAGATTTATTTTATACTATATTTTATTGTCCTTAAAAGAAAGCTAAATTGAATTGTATGGTCCTAATAATATTAAGTAGTTTCAACAGACATATTTACTTAAATTTTATTTAAGTACTTCCACGAAACTGATATAGGGTATACTTCACCAGTTATCTTTCCATCTAGTTTCACTATGATTGTCACTGTTCGGAATTTCCTCCTTGCCACAGCTTTATCAGCGGCACACCAAACTCTCACTCTTCATTATCTGCTTGACCATTTTCCTGAGGCAGCTCTTCAAATTCAACACAACTAAAGCAGAGCTCAACACCACAGCCTCATACACTTCAAAAGCCTCAACTCAATTGTCAGTCTCTCCAGGAAGACCCTTCTAGACATCCGGATGTGGCCTTCCTCTGTGTTCCACAGAACCCAATGCATGCCTACTCTGTACTTTATGGACAATTCCTTCTGGTATGTTTTACTACTAGATGAAGGTTTTAGAAGATCAGAACTGTGCCTTTTACACCTTTAATGTACCAACCCAAGACAGGCTCCTGCTATCTGATAAACACATGACCAATGCATAAGCAAACAAAACATTTTTTAACTTCAAAACCAAGTTCTACACCTTAAGTTCCTTCCTACTCTATTTCTGAGAATGCCACACTCATCCTCCCTACCATTCTTGCTTGCAGAGGGGCCTCTGTCATTCTTCACCTGGACATTCGGCTAATCTCACTATTCACCATGGGGTCACCCAGTTTACTAACAGTCCACTTCAGACCATTCTTTTCATTTCAGCTATAAGAGCCTCCTGCAAGACCTACTCCTGGCCTTTGCTTTAACGTATCCTACATTTATTCTCAAATTTATCTTTTAAAATTCATGGCTTTTTTGGTCAACTCTCTCTCTTCATTAAAAAATGGATGAGTCCCCATTGTTCACCAGGCTGGGCCTTAATTTTCAGGCCTAGACTCTGTCTCCAGATACCTGTTGTTAGCATAGGTGTTCACAATCCTTCCATGTAGTGTACATGACCACCTGAGTCACTTGCCCCAGTTCTCACCCCCCACGCCTTTACTTAGGCTTCTGTCTTCCCCTGAAATTCTGCTCTCCCTAGCAGCAAAGATCCTTTGCATTAAGATCCATCATGAAGACTGATTCTTTCATACAAATGTCCATTTTCTGCCCAAGCTGATGGCATCTGTTCTTTACTCAGAATACTTGATGGCAGTTTAAACTGAGGCTAAGAAAACATAGCTACAATTGTGAAATGGGTTATCTTACTGAAATGTCACTCCAAAACTTAGCGACATCATGATGATTTTCTTGTAAAAATTCGGTGAACCACCTAATGGAGCGTTTGCTGCCTTTGTCTTCAGTTTCATCCCGCTCGAAGCGCTCGTTATGCTTGTTCACAGAGTAGTTGGTCAGGTGCATGTATAGCTGGGTCTGCAACAAGCAAGCAACAAAGTCGTTAGCGCCTATGAGATTCCAAGCTTCATGGGCTCACAGAAAAGAAGGGACTCCAACTCTAACAAGTTTAAGGATGAAATGTTAGACTGACAACCTCACTCGTGGCCATTCAGTTTCAAGTAAAGTAGAATGATGGACTTTCCTTAAAAGGCCTGAGAATGCAACGTCTGTAGAATCACTTTAAGTGCTATTCACAATACTACCATTAAAAGTATCAAACGAATATGAATATAAAAAGTAATTATGTTAAATTGTGATGATACATATTGCTAAGCAAGAAAGATGCTTCAAGTTTATTGTTGTTTTTCATGTTTTGGGCCCTTTCAGTTTATACTTGAATTTGTTTGAAGAAAGGAATTTTGTAAGAAAGCCTTCCATGTCTTTTAAAAGAAACATAAAAATATGACATCCTAAGCATACAATCCAGACCCAAGAGGCCAGACTGCCAAACCAGGCGCTCCACTTGGCACTGGCTGGGAGGCCACTTTACCTGATGGACCAGCCACAGGGAAGGCACCACTAAATGCTGTACAGATCTCTTAATGTTTAACAGTCAATGCATCAAGTGCCATAACAGGGTTCCTTATGATCAGTCTCCCTCTATCATTTTTTTTTCCCCTTGCTTTTCTGAGACAGGGTCTTGTTAAATAGCTCAAACTAAAGTCCAACTCACTATGTAGCCTATGCTAGCTTGACCTCACAGTGATCTTTCTGCTTTAGCCTCCCATGTGCTGGAATTACAGGTACACTCACCATGCCCTATTCTAGTCTCTTTATCCTTAAATTTGTTGATACAGTTTTCCTTAAACAAACTGGACAATAACCAAACATTTCACTTTTTTATATTGTTCCTTATCAAAGTAGCACAAATATGCCTCAATTTTATCTTTAATTGCTACCCTTCTCACAATGCTTCTCCCAGATTACACTGGATAAAAATACTGCATTAGATTGAATATGTATTTCATCCACCTGATTATTTTGATTTCTTAATAACAACTGCATCCAAGTTTTACTTTATTTTTGTAGTTCCTTAGACTTGTAGTAATAAAATCTTAGAATAGGCAGAAACGATCACAGCATTACATGTGGTTGAAAAGTCCATGTGCCTAGCACTAATGAAGAATGTATTTATTTACTAAGTGATATTTAAGGAGCAGCTACAGAAGTGAAGGAACATGCGAACCACATAACAACCTGAAAAGTGTGAAAATAATACAACTCATACCCTTGTCGCCTGTCAGTATGCAGGCGCAACATAATGAACCGGTACATACAGAAATTTTCAAAAGTTAGATAAGTACTGCATGGTAGGGGGAAAAAAGAACATTACCTTCCAACCTCTGAAACTCCATCTTATGATATGTTTAGCCTAAGCATCTCTAATTCTCATAGAAGTGCACCACTTATTATGGAATATGCTTATTGTCTTAAAAATCAAAAACACACAGAAAAAACTGGTAGTAATCTGCTGCTCAAAATCAACCAGTGAAAGTATTTTATTTTGCTGTGGCTTTTTCCAAGTCTTCTTTCTTAAAATTACCTTTTATATAATTGCGGTCTCAATTCAAATAAAAGGCTATATTTCACTTTTTAGTTTTTTCATGCATCAATTTAGGAACTCAACCACAAAAATGTAGAGTCAGATGTAGAATTTAGGTAAAAGAACATCTTTTTTCCCTATGCATGTAAAAACCAAGGCCAGAAGCTTGTTTGACTCAAGAGTGTTTGGCAAAATGACACATAAAAATTACACATGTCTTCTCCCTGTCTCTCATTATGATTTCCTAGTCCAGTGTACTTAAGCAAATTAAGGACAGGACAGGGAGTGGGGGGAGAGGCCTACCTATGCACATAAGCAGGGTGGTTGGGATAACTGCACTGTGTATTTCTGCTGGTCTGTGGAAAGGAACATGTAATGCTTTTTTTTTTTAGGTCTTCTTTTTTCAATTTTTTTCCTTTTTCTCTCTTCTTAATTTATTGTATTTTTTCTTTTATTATTTTTTTCTTTTATTCTTTCTTCTTCCAGTTCTACATGCATATTTCTGGTACTCTGAATAACTAATGTGAAGGCAACGCTATGCAATACCACCCCAATACTGTCAAATTCATATTATTTTGTCTAATGAAGTTCTGTATCATTTGTCATTTTTTTCTGTTTTAATACTATTTTATACGCTCTTTAAAAAATTTTTTTAAAAGATTAGTACATAAGAATGAAGCTATCTTCATATCCCACACCCGCTATTTTACACAAAGCTAACTGAAAAGCCAGACCTTCCTTGAGGAGCTGAACACTATCACTGGATAGCTACTTTAATGTCTCCCACAGTCCTTTCCATATACAGCCATGGCTTACAGATGTGTGCTAGGAAACCCATCCTTATTTTTGCAGCGGTATCTTTTCCTGATTAGCCTGCCTAAATCAAGACATCCTTGTTGCCACACTTCAGAAAGTCTCCTACAAGTTAGAAGCAGTCATGATCATGTACATGATTCTTCCAGACCATAAAAACTACACATAATAAATACTTCAAGAGGAGATATTGAATCAATGAATGAAACGAATCCTGGCACCACTTACCAAATTGGACTCATTCGGCGGAATGTACTTCTCTGTTCCCATGCGCACAAGTCCGTCATGGTAAAGAAATATTTTTAGTGGATCACATGATGTTACCAGAATATAAATTCGTAAATCAAACTTGTAACCTTCCATTAGGAAAGGCTTTTCAATGTATTCTTGAACAATTAAATGATCCTGAGATGGAAGCTTATCCCCATTTCTTATCAAAGAAATCCTAAGTGTGAAGAAAAGAAAGAAGAAAAATTCAACCTGGAAGTGTTTAAAAAGTTCTCCATATACTCACTAAGAAAGAAAACAGTGCAATGAGAAATTTCAAAAGTTCAGCCCTCCACAAAAATAATGAATAAAAAAAAAGTAAACTTTGGACTTATATACACAGCTAAAAGCCTGCAATATCCAGAAGACAATCACGAAAAAAACAGTTGGATCTTGTGGTTATTCTGACCTGCCAAGGGCCAGCTCACTTTTATCTCATGTAACTTGTAACTCTGCTAGTGCTAAGTACCTACCTGGAGGAACAACTATTGAAAGCATTTAAAAGAAAATAGTCCCTGAGGGCTAAGGCAAAAGATTAACATTCGTAGTATACAAGAGAATAACTAAAAAGACTAAGGAAATGCTCAGGTATGAAATTCTTTGAGTTTTTGTAAAACTCTAACACATGCCTTTGGAGTTAGAAGCCCAGGTGTATGTCTGAGCTAGATGCAAGCCCAGGAAAGATCTGACAAGGCCTAACCTTCATCTCTGGCAAATCATCAAACTGCCTAAGCAGAACTGAAGGAGAAGGCAGAACTGTGAACTGACTGCATCCTGGCACTTCCTATACTATCACAAAAAAAAAAAAAAAAAAAAAAAAGACTGAACGGAAGATTATTACTTATATATAACTTAACAGTAAAGGTAAGGGCTGGCCAGACAGCTCAGCAGACTAAAGCGCCTGCTTCAGCAGGGTACAGTGGCCAGAGTTCAATCCCCGGCATGCCGTGTGAGCCCCACCCCAAGGTGCGCTGAGACAGGGACTGAGACTGGGCATGGTGGCGCACGCTTGTAATCCCAGTGCTCAGGAGGCTGACCACAGAAGAATCACTGTGTCTGATCTGTGTAGTGAGACCATGTAGACCCTCTGCCCTGTAGATCCTATACTAGAAAGTACATAAAAAATAAAATTTTTTAAAAAGAAAATCAACATTGAATAACTGATATAAAATTACACTTATTTTTAAACAACCAAACCAAAATCAAAAATAATATATGATTGTATTATTACATTATGCTTCAAAGGTAAAGCAAATTTCTTCGACAATAATGTAACCTGCTAGCAACCATTTCATGTATTTTTTTATTCCACAGGATTTTAAATCAAAAATCAAAATGGTTCAAGTATACTTTATTTTAAAAGACATGTAACATCTTCTTTGAAAATGTGCATTGCAGAAAACCAAACAGAAGTAAGCAAAACCAAACAAGAATTTTAAGTTTTATTCTCAGAACATTTCTAGTTCTTGGCACTACCTTACAATGTGCTCTATTTTATTTTAAATCTAATTACCATGGCTACATAAAGAAAAATAATTATAAACCAAAGAACACACATATTTTGCTGGAAGAATTTTAGCTATAAAAAGTAACTCCCTTTCTGTTTCCCCAAGTTAACTTAGCTCTACTACAGCAATTTATTTCATTTTCCAAATTTATTAAAAGTATTATGTTTATGAAATTAGAAAATAGCTTTGTTTCTCTTATATTTTTACCTCCAATTAAAGTCTTACAACCTGTTGATTTAATTCTTAAACTTAATTACTAAAGCCTGTGAGACAAGTTAAAAGAATAAGGCTCATTAAAGAGTCAGCCAAAAAGCAATAGCAAGAAACTTATTATTTTTTCATAACGGCACCCAACCGGGATAATTATGCTCATATATTCCTTCCTCTTATTTTTAAATTGTTATGCTTCCAAGTCAAAATAAACCTACCCATGACCCATTGCTCCATTGGCAGGTTTTACTATAAAGGTTTTCTGCTTCCGTTTTTTCTTCAACTCTTTCACATAGTTCTGAAACTGAGTATACTCAGAAGGGAAGATCCATGTTCGCGGAACAAAGGTATAATCCAGAGGACGAGACTTGATCATTCTGTAAAATAGAGACAATCTGAAGGATAATTTCTATTCGGACTTCACAAATTTTATTTCCTTGAGCTAGTGATACTACATAGATTTAAATTCCCTCCATTCGTTTATTTTTATTTATTTGTTACAGGCTCTCACTAAACAGCTTGAACTCGTAGTGATCCTCCTGTCTCAGGCTCCCCAGCACTGGGATCACAGGAATGCGCCACCATGCCCAGTATTGGTGGCTGACACAGCGCGCCCTTCCTGGCCCTGCACTGCATGCAGTACCAGGGATCAAACCTGGGTCCTTACACTTGTCAGGCAGTGCTTAGACCACTGAGATCTCTCCTCAGCCCTTGTTCATTTATAGATTCAATCAAAAAATGTCTATTTACTAATAAGGCCTCACACCTACTACGTACTAGATACTGGACACTTGGAATACATCAGTTGAAAAAAAAAATCAAAAATCTCTGTCCTAGGCTGAGGAGATAGCTTGGCACCATAAGCACCTGCCTGGCAAGTGCAAGGACCAGAGTTCAATCCCCTGAGCCACACACAAGTCATGCTGGCCCTAAACTGGGCGTGGCACTGCACGCCTGTGATCCCAGCACTGGGGAGGCTGAGACAGGAGGATTATTACAAGTCCAAACTGCCTAGTGAGACTCTGCATCAAAAAAATTTTAAAGAAGAAAAATCTTTGCCCTGTTAAGAATTCACATATTACTACAATGCAACGATCTGGCCACACACTATGCTAGACACTAGTTACATTAAAATAAATTAGTATGTCTCTATGCCTGATGAATTCACAAACAGGCCATTAATTACAAACCAATGTGATAAATACACAGCAGGTAAGGCCAGGTAACCTGCAGAAGTCATTAACTCAGCCTCGTGTGTGGGCACGCATGTTTCAGGGCAGTGCTATTTCTATTTTCTCTTTGAACATGACTTTCGGGTTTCTGGGTCATCCTGTCAAAGCAGCCTGTGCCTCCCTTTTATAGCACTGCCTTTGAGAACATAACTGCTTTTCCAAGAAAACCACGTGACAGCTTGTGCTGGAGTGCCCAGGTGCCCTCTATACAGACTACTACACATGCAGTGATAGTTTTGCAGTTTCTATAAATTAGGCTGCCTACTTGATGCGTAATTTATGGATAATACTAGATATAAAATGCTTATTTTTGATAAATCTCACATGTTAATTATTTTGTGTATACTGATTCCCCCCAAAATTAATAATAAAAAAATTAAAATAATGGCAATTGTGAAAAATATAATTACTACAAAATAAGTTTTTCTACATGTGCAAATCTTTCACAGATGAACAGATACTGTCTCCAAACAGGGCTGAGAAAAGTGCAAATGGAACCACAGTGTACGCTATGCACAGTAGAGTCTAACTTCCAAGATCAGGTTGTCAGGCGTGGGTTACGCAAACGAAGATTCACGAACCTTCGTACTTTCTGTGCTCTATCAGCTCCTTCAAAATTTATACTACAAATAGGAAATGAAAAATAATTACCATCTACACTAAGTCTAAAAACTTCTTTCTCATCTACACTAAGTCTACAAATGAAATAATCTTAGTACAAATAGGTTAACACTGAGTGGTTTCAGAATCACAAACCAAAAAAAGAAAAGTAACACAGTAACAGTGCTAATGCCTGTTTTCCTTTCCAACACCTTTAAAAATATTTATTATATGTTTACAATGATATAAAATTAGATCACAGTACAATTTTAACTTAAAAATAGATTTTAAAACTAAGCACACCGCACTGAAGAATGCTATCATGCTCTGACATTATTGTTGGCAAAAAAAAAAAAAAAAAATTAGCACACATATTTTTACTGTGTGTATTTTATTCCATTTAGGTAGTCTACCTTAAAAAGAAATGCACAGGGCCAGGGATTTAGCTCAGTGGCACAAGTGCCTGCCTGGCAAGCACTGGTCCCTGAGTTTAATTCCTGGTCCCCAAATAAACAAACAAAAAAAGAAATATGCAGCTTTAGCCAGGAATTTGGCAGTCAGATACTTTCTGTTTTATCACAGATTTACTAAATGATATTAAATAACTAGTTAACTACTTTTATTACTAGGGCACTATATTTTTTCCCAATAGAAAAAGATTTCTTCCTAAAGGACAGTTCCAAGAACGGTAAGGAATGGGAAACTGCCTACCAGCTGACCTCATTTAATCATACAAACTATTCTCTAAAACAGCAGCCAGAAAGGATCTTCCCACAATGCACCTCTGGTGGAATCGCTGCTATTCTGCCCCCCACCCGTATGGCCTTCCCAGTAAAGTCTATAATGCTGATCAGCACCTTTCCCCCATCTTGCCTTACTCCCCATTCAACTCTCTGTACTCCAGCTGCACTTGGCATTTTTCAATGACTTGATTATTCATGTTTTCTCCCCCTGCATGACCTACTCTTCCTGCCTGGATGGTTCTTCCCTTCCATCTGTGTCACTAAGTTCTTTTCATTATTCATGTATCAATTTCCATATCACTTCCTCAGGGAAACACTTCCGAATTCCCTAATTAGGTCCGAATTTTTCCTATGCACCACTACAGACTTACGTGCCTCTACTTCATAGCACTTATCAAAGCTATAATTGAATATTATAGGAACCTGAATCTGCTTTTGATAAACATATGTGTGCAGAGTCCAACACCACGCCTGCCACACAGGAGCATAGAATGTGTAAAATAGCAAGTGAAGCATCTACCCAAAATCTGATGGGGTAGGTCCCTTTTTCACTAAAGCTCACTCTTTTCTACATAACCCTGAAATCACACTACTTGTATTTATATAACATCCGAGCCAGAAACTCAAGAGTCTACCCACAGACTTCCCCCTTGCCCACCCTTAATTCTCACATCACAGCTCTTTTCAAATCCTATCAATTCTTTCTTTCAGATTTATTCTCTTCTCCGCTTCCACTATCCCATTTTTGGCAAGTTAGATATTTGTTACTTCTTATCTAGATTTAGATAATCATCTCCTCCAAAACTTTCTCCCTCTAGTTCTATTGCCCATGAATTTATTATCCACAGTGCCACAATGTTCTAAAATATTTCCTGATTAAGAACATTCAAAACTTGTATTCTTCTCAAGAGGGGTGTATGTGTGTGTGTGTGTGTGTGTGTGTGTGTGTGTGCATACATGTTTTGAGTACTGAATGAGATGAATGAATAAGTGATGAAATAAAATATGATCTACAAGGCCTCCCCACGTTGAGCCTCCTAACGACCTACAAGCTACAGGAACTGCTTTAAGTTTCACACAGTCATGTTGGCTCAAGCTGCCATGTATCTTCTTCCTTGTTATCTTTGCCCATAAACTCCTCACCTCCTTAAAAACAAACTCCTGCATACTTCCTACTACCCATATTGTATCCTAACTATGCCAAAAAGCTTTCCCTAGTTCCTAACAGTGGTGTCTCCCCATCTCTGTCACCGTGTACCTCTAATGTGGCATCATCCCACTTCTACATTGGTTGTATTCCTCTCTTACTAAAAAGTGAGTTCTAGGTCTTATTTATCTTAAATATCAGCAATCTCTGGCACATAATCTAGACCTACCAAAAAACTGTTAAGTAAATACATGTTTTAAACTCAAATAAAATCATATTACTATTTCTCCAATTATAAATATAAATTAACTTATGAATAGTCCACTTTTAAAAACAATTGCTTAGCATCTGACATTCTTAAACTAAAAGAAACATTGAAAAATTCTAACCAACAATTAGAAACAAAAATTATATAAAAATGTTCTAGTTCATTCAGCAAAACACTTGAGTAACTTTTAACAGTTTTTCTCATAAACTATTACTGTGACTATTGGCCTCAGAGATAAATATACACGCATGTATATGTCTGGAAGGCCATGCTTACATGTGGCTATGTGTATGCACACACACACATGCAGCCAGTACAGCTCTTCACATATGTTACATGTTCAATAATCAAGATGAATATACACACGGCATAAAATGTAACAAATTAGTTTCCTTAAGGGTAAACTAAAAATAAGTATCTGCTGAATGCCACATAAAAATTTAAACGAAAAACTTCTTTTACTTCACTCCACATATAAATTACCTCATATTTAAAAGAAAAAAAATTCTGTTATTTGAGAAAACAAGGTGCAATCAAAAAAGCTGCAATTGTGGACACTGGGATCCTGACCAACTCTGCTGATAACTATTTATTTGACTTCATGCAAGCTATTCATTCCTCTCAGCCTCAATTATCTCCTCTGGAAAGGATTACACTAGAGAACTCTAAGGCCATGCTAGCACTAGAATTCTCTCTTTTCCATCTAAATACCATTTCAAATAAATGCAACTTTATACAACATAATATTCATAACATAAATTCTGAATAGTTCTTTATTACAAGAAAATGAAGATTACTTGGTCATATTTCTTGCTAAGAAATCCTTTCTACAGATCTCCCCCATTCCTGGAAAATGGTTGATCCTCTGAAAAATAAAAAGATAAATATTAATATTCTCATTGGCTTCATGAATATATTTGTTTATACTATGAAGTTAGATCTGCCCTTAGAGTTTTATATACTTTGATTAACTGCTAATTATTAATTCAAAAGATTAAAATTAAGTGTAGTCAGAGAATAAAATTATAAAATTTCAAAGGAATCAGGAAAAGGAGATTACATAAGCGATAATGTTCTAATGGTCTTTCCCGAATAAACGGTAATTCAACAGGCAAATTTTAGAGTACTAGGCTTACTATATGAACATATCGTCATTGCAGAAAAATGATGAAAATGGAGTTATACTCTCCCTCTGATCAACTGGGTAGTAATCGCTAAACTAGAAGATGAAGAAGGACTACACAAAATCACAATTGTCTAAACTAGTTAATATTTAGATTTTTAATTTGATGTTCATTTTCTCCTGAATATAAAATTCTATAATAAAAAATAACAGGTTGCATATAATTGGCAAAGCAACTTATGCCCCATCCTCATCCCCCCAAGCCATTGATTTCATCACTCATATCTATGTGTAAAGCAAAGTATCATCTCAGAAATGGGGTTTTGTGTTGCTTTTAGTGGAGTACCAGGAATCAAACTGAGGACCTCACACCTGCCAGCCTGGTGCTGTGCCGTTGGGCTAGATCCCTGGGCCTACTAAGGGTAGTTTTTTTCCTACTGATTCTTTATTAAAGAAGGAAGAATTTAAGATTAAGTTTGAAAGGTATGGAAGTTTCATTGAAAAGTCAGCTGAACTGGATAGCAACAAAACAGCTATTCAGAATTAGAACTGAAATCAGTCAACACAGAATCTTATAAAGAAAATTGTCACAGAATCCATGCCATTTTCCTCATCCCAATAATCTGTCCTGGTTAATTCCCCACCTGGTAATTTTGCAGCTCTGCAATCTTCTCTTGCTGAACAGCAGAATCACACCAGATAAGGTTACTCGTTTCATCTTCATCTGGAGTTTTCATAAATCCCATTTCATCTATTACTAAACGAACTACAAGAAAATAGTTAAGCCAGAATTTAAAAACTTCTGAAATACTTTCACTGGAGAATATACATACCTATAAACACATGATATGCTATCTTAGTTTACAGTGTCTTATTAGGAAAATAGCCACTAGTTCTAGCATACCCATATTTTTAATTACAACAGTTTTATTGGAGACCAAATTATTTCATACAGTAACTGAGAACCATTTTATATCACTTCCCATTCCTTAGTTTCCATACTTTCAGGTTTAACAGGTACACAAAACTGCCAAAGGACATGGCAATTAATTTTATCACCATGAAAATACAGATGGCTGAGACAACGTGTCCACTGAGGACAATGCACTTGCGCGGCTTTTGCATACCAGAGCGAGGTAATCACAGGCACAGGTAGGAACAGTCCTGCTCATCAGGTCCACCTTCTACCCTCCACCTCCCCAGCTCAAGCTACTGCTTAATCCAAGTTATCTTTGTCTAGTCAGGGCATTGAATAATGAAGAGAAACTCACAGGAAAGATTCACCACACATCAATCCTCCTGTGTTCCTGACCTGGAAATTCTACTGAAAAACTATGCTTTGAAAAAGTCTTCCTTCTAAGTAAAACCTATTTATGTGTCCCTCTGAGGTAGATTTCACCATCAACACATTGCCATTTTCCTTCCAACAAACTTCAAATTAAAAAAAAAAAAAAAAAAAAGTAATACACTTAGGGTAAATTTTGGGTTCCAACAGAATTCTGGGTCCTAACATAATGGCATATCTCTATGGCAGTCCTTAAGCCTTTCTTTTTAAGTGTTTTCTTCCTCTGAGTACCCTCTATACTAGAAGAAACGGTATTAATTGTCTGAATGAGTTAGCTCTGTTCAAAAATGGTAACGAGATACTGTTGGTCTGGAGTCCTGGGAACCCTGGACCATTTGCTGCCTGAGGAGAAAGGATTGTATAGGCCAGCACACCCAGAATGCAAGCGTAACAGAGGACAGAGAGTGGAGGTGATGAGGTCCGGGAGGAGACGCACAGGTGGAGCTGCTGTGTTTCAGAAGCTGAAACTGGAATGAGGCCCAGCTGATCGCAACAAGCACGGTGTAAAGGCAGCACTGTTCTCTCCTGGGCTGCAGACTGCCACACAGCCTTGCCACCCCAGGACTCAGCAGCTGTGTGCTGCTGGAAGCTCACACAGAGGCAGGGGCCACCTCAGTGCAGCCTGGGAGATTCCTGGTGTGCACACAGAAAAGCACCAGGGCTTCCTAAGGTCAGCACACGATCAGCCCTGTTCCTGAGTAAATGAGGGACACTGGCTTGGGCCTCTCCAAAATACCTGGGAAGACCCAGACACAGTAAGTGGAACTCCTGGAAACTGGATGGAGAACATGTCATGAGCATCTTGAGCCTGCTGGTGAGCCTCACACAAGCTGGGGAGGCTGGGAGCACAGAGGTTATTCAAGAATAGAAGGAAAGAGGGCCAGAGATATAGCTCAGTGGACCAAGCATATGCTTAGGCAAGCACAGGGACCAGGGTTCAAGTCCCGTGGTGGCACACGCCTGTAATACCAGCACTGAAAACAGGAGGATCACTACGAGTCCAAGCTGCATAGTGAGACCCTGTACCAAATACAAGGAGGAAGAGGAGGAGGAGGAGGAGGA